CCAATTGTCACCACGGCCCTAGCCTCTTCTCTAGGCGGCGACAGCTGGTCCCGGACCCGGACCGCGCGGCCCTTTGTTTGCTGGTAAACAGGCTCTTTTGAACTTCAGGTGGCTCCCGGCGCGCGCCGGTGGCACTGGGCGCCCCAGCCGGTCCTCTCGCGAACCCAGAGACCTGGTTGGGCGAAGGTAAGCCCAGGTGAGCAAGGCTGGATTAGATGATACTGCCACGTAGTGTCTCTCAGGGACTGTGGCTAGTCACCTGCCACCTTCCCTTCCTCCCTCGGTCCCTGGAGGCACGAAAATTTTAGAGGCACAGATCCTTCACTAAATGGACTATTTCGAAATCCAAATCCGTAAGTACGAGGTAACTGTGGCATTTTAGGAGGAAACAACTCCTTACTCAATTCATTCCGTAGTAATTGAGCGCCTACTGTGTGCTTGGGACCCTGGGCTGGTCACTTCAAGGAGTTTACAGAAATTTAAAATCTCACAGAACTTAAACTAAAACCAATGGGGTAAAATGCATTTGGCTCAAACAAACGCGTGGGCCCAAAAACGCTTATTCAGTGTTTCCCCCATTACAGTAACTGTTTTCTAGCTCTGGGAATGCTGGGTTAACTGCCTGAACCACAACGTGTCACATGAATTTTAAAAACTATGTTCCATAAATATAAAATATACACGGTGTGGCTAAAGGTGACATCCCCTCCCAAGCCTCCCAACCCCCTCCCCCCAAAAAAGGCCAGTGACCTCGGTGTTCTGCTCTGTATAATGGAGGAATCTAGAAGGTTTGTTGCAAGAAGTGGAGAGAATGTGTGAGAGTTACCTCCCTAGGTTTTTACAATGTGAGCCTGATAAATTGTAGTAGTTAATAAGTGATAGCCATTATTAAAACACTTGACCATGGGGGACCAGCAGTTAGCGTAATGGCTATGTCGCTGGACTCCCACGTAGTCGACCGCGGTTCGAGTCCCAGACCCGGTGGCTTAAAACTCACACTGGGCGCGTGTACATGCGTGCCCAAGATCTCGAGAGGAGAATGGAGGAGAAGGGATTGCGGCCATCCCCTCTGGGGGGGGTGATTTCTTGCTTTCTAGCTCTGTCTCTCTCTGTCTGTCTGGTGAGTGCACACGCCCTATAGCAAAAACCTCTCAAAACAAACAAACAAAAACACTTGACCACGAAATAGAAAATAATTTCAGAAACTTACAGTGTTTGTGATTTTTATACATTTCCTGTTCTTTTTGCATAAATGTTGCAAGTTAATGTCTTGACTTCCTTAAAGAAGTTTTAATGAGTTAAACAAGAGTAACCAAATAAAAATTAACTTTACACTTGTAGAAAAATCACCACCTTAAAGACGCACATCATTATTATAGAATTTAAAGTCAATTGAACTTCTTTTTTATGGTCAAGGTAGTAAATGAAGGGGAACTAAACTGAGTTAATGTGTTGTCTCCCTAAGAAATCATATAGACAGTTTATATACATAAAGCTATAAAGTGATGATGTTTCTGTCAAAGTCCAGGGTAAATAAAATATTTTGACATCCTTTCGTTTTATTGTCCGGAGGAACCCACCAAGTAGGAGTAGATGGTTTTGTTGTTTTTCCTCAGCTACAGAATCTCCAGGAAATCCTGAGTTACTCTAGCGCTATAATCTTTCTTTCCTTGAAAACAAAGCAAACAGGACCAGGGCCCAGCAGGTGGTATGCGGATTAGGCACTGGATCTCACATGGCTGACTACTTGGTTCGAGCTCCAGACCCGGCTGCTTGAATATCACGCTGGGCACATGGGCATGCGTGCCCCACATCTGGAAAAGACTGCAGGAGAAGTGATAGGGGGGTGGCCATCGCCCTTAGGGGGTGTGATTTCTCATTTTCCTTCTCTCTCTGTTTCTCTTTGGCAAGTGCACACATTCTATAGCAAAACTAAAAAACAAAACAAACAACAATAACAACAACCAAAAAAAAAAAAAAACAGGAATGAACTTATCCCAACAATGGGAAGCATTTGGAAACCCACTCGCTGTTACCCACTTGCTCACAATAACCCACGTTTCCTTCTCTGTTTTCAAACTCAGGGTTCCTTCGCGATTCTTTCCCTTAGCCCCTGTTAACTGACAGGCTGTTTGCCAAGTGAGGTTCCCTCTGTTTCCAGGAACTTGAAGCGTGTCATTTGTATGCAGCCAAATCAGAAATCTCTGTCACCAGGCTGAGAAGCATTTGCAAGGGGGCAGGGATGAAGGGCAAATATTTTGCAAATTAGTTATTTTCTTCACTGAGCTATTGTTTGTAGAAATTTGTTTCTCTCCCATTTGTTTTGCTGTTTAACCCTATAAATAAACTTGTAAGTTATTTTAGAGATGAGGAAACTATGGCTGATGGATTTCTTTTTTTAACTATAGAGTGCATGTGCTCAATAGAGAGAGAGAAGTGAGGAGTCACCCCTTGCAGGGTGGTCATGCCGCAATCCCTTCTCCTCCATGCTCCTCATGGGATTTTGGGCCCACGTGCACAAGTGCTGGCATATTTTCCATTTGTCAAGCCAGGACTCAGCCTGCAGCCATCCATGTGGAATCCGGCTGCCTTAACCTCGATGCCACCTGCCGGCCTGCTGATAGATATTTTTAAGGCCACTTTCCTCCAACTTATGCCCTCTGGTTTGGATTTACTCGAGATTTTCATTCTGTGCTGTTGCAGAAACACCATCGTTTCCACCCTTGCTTGGGAAGCTAGTACCTCACAGAGGAAAACGATCTATGTCTGGGTTCTTCATAGTTAATCAGTGAGACAGATTTGTATCCGGCGAGTCAGTCCTTGCTTTTTGTAACCGTCCACACAGTGGTAAGATTGGGTAAAGAGCAGTTGTTCCCTAGACAATCAATACATTTTTTAATAAATGAATTCACTTGGTGAATTCGAAATTTAGAAATGTTAGGGACCAGCAGTTAGCGTAATGGCTATGTTGCTGGACTCCCACGTAGTCAACCATGGTTCAGGTCCTAGCAAAAACCTCTCCAAAAAGAAAAAGAAAGAAAGAAATTTAGAAATGTTAGTAAGGAGATAGACCACATCAAGAAGAAGCACTTGCTCTCGGGTGTTTGGGTAGTAGGGGCCAAATCCCTAACTTTCCTCAGTGTTTCCCAGGGAGAGAAAAACATTCTTCTTCCATCACAACAAAGAACGATGCTATTTCCAGCAGCAGCTACCAGACGGATGACACTGACGTGCAATTGCCTCCACTTAGGGTCACCTGGACCTGCTGCCAGCACCCACCCACTCCCATCCCTAGGCTCCAGGCAGAGAAACAGGCTGCTCAGGTCGGCTGATGGTCACACCCTGGTCTTAGGTCAGCAGGGGGCACTGTGGGACAGAGCAGTCTCCCTAGGCGAGGGCCGGCTCGCTCGGTGGTGCAGTGATAAAAGCTGCTCCAGGGAAGCCAGACCCCACCACGCCTCCATGGTTCCATCCCTGGCCTTACAGCTTGGCAGGGGCGGGGGTGTATGTGTGTACACATGTGACTGTCCCATATCCAGTTGCTAGAGGACTGGAGGAAGGGGACAGTGGTGTGACCGGACCTGTGGAGCGTGCCCCCTCTGCCCTCACATGTGCACATGCACTTTATTATAAATAAAGAAAACAAAAGCAGAAACAGGCTGCAGTGTCAGACAGGCCATGGTGTGTGTGCTGCTAAGACACTGCACCT